GAGGGTCCTGACATGTATACATATACGCTGAATCAAACCGGGCCTGAAACGTTCATGCGTGCGCATGATGGGCAACTACAATTTCTACGTTCCACCGCCGTAGTTCCGCAAACTCATTGGCGGTTGAAACTTGAGGAACAATTGCAGCACAGATCATTTTGCAGCCAAGCAGTATTCCAATTAAGGGCTCGCTATATTAATTATGCAGGTCTATCACAAGACGAGCAATTCCACTCAAAATTCGACCCAGTACCGACGTATCTAGAGTATCCATGATACACTCCAATAGCCTTCCGTCACCTTTCTCGGGTGGAAACAACTGAACAGATAACATGCCAGCCTCAATACGAAATCAATTTTACCTAGCTCCTTTCAAAGTTCAAAGCTTGTCAAGGAATATACGGGTTGATTTAGTCGGAATGGCCTGTTTTGAACCTGGGATATTCGGGTAGGCACCTTCTTTTAGGCTGGTATCGGGTACTAGAGGCGAGACGTAGACCAATTTGGTCCGATGTCCCTTCATATATCTACTAGTTCGTGTGTGGTTTTCTTTCTCGAGAAAGCTCATCTTACGAATTTACCGAACCACATCGAGTATTAATTTGCGACATGCGAACGGCACACAAGTGGACGAACGGGTTTTTCTCGTGTTTGAAAAGTCCAGGCCAAGGTATGCGTTTCTAGAGCTCCGCATCGCCAAAAATGACGTTAACCTTGAAATAAATAGCCTGTACTACCTGTATATGTCCCTGTATCACATTCGGAAGAATTGCGTACCGACGAAATGCTTATAAAGACCGAACACACAGCCCTTGTAATGGTCCGTGCCTGGGTTATTGCTGTCTCTCTTCAAGTGGCCTGCATTGGGTCTTGGGGATAATGCAAAGATCCGAGCTGCGGAGAGAATTCGATCTCGACGGATCGGGGTGCGGTGACTGTTTAAAGCACTTTTACTGTAGCTGCTGTGCTCTTGTCCAAGAAGATAAGGAGACCAAGATGCTGCTGGAAAAGCAATCTATTTCTGCTCAGTATGCCCCTCAGCAACCCATGCGGTATAGTCAAGTAGATCGAAAAAACGGCCTAGTGGCGAAGGGTTAGAATAAAGCGGTTAATCCGGCTAGAAGTATAGTACGTAGTTACTTGATATTGGTCTCGTGCCTGATATCACTTCTGAAGGGGCATCCTTAAATAGTTGATCAGCACAAGCGAAGGCCCCCCTTTGGGACGTCTGGGGGCGAGGTCAGATCAACCCGAACTGCTTGTATATAAATATATATCTGAAACTATTTAATATAAAACGAAGACCCGCTCTCTAATGGGGCAAAGGTATATGTGGCTTTACTCTTATTATTGAGGCCGTTTCTCCGCCCACGGTACCCGCCAACGCGGTAACTGTGGCTCATTATTCCTTCTGGTGGTGTGTTCCTTTCAACTGTGATACAGAGCGCTCGAGATATACCAGTAATATGATATTTGGCAGTATAGATGATAAACTAGCATTCACAAGGCCATAGAGATACAGTATCGACTTGTAGAAGCTTCATTGAGCACGTATGGACTTGACCCTAGTAAGGAAGTAGAGCATTCTGGCTTCAGAAATCCCTTCTACAGCACCTCCAAAGTGTTAGACGATAACTGGGACGCAGTAGCTTTACGAAGAGGGCCCTTGAGAGCTGACTCAACTAGTTAATCTCCAGCAGCTATTCTAGCCTTTGGTGTCGGGCAGTACCGACAGATCCGCAGATCTCAGGTACCTCGTCAAGACGCTGTCTTATCCTGGCCACAATCCAAGTTCAAAACTCGACCTAACTAGGTCCCACCAACCTCCTTCGTGACGGCTGCTATTTCGTGTTTACATTCTAGAGGACGGTTCGAACCAGAAGCACACATGTTTTTTCTTGGCTTCTATCTAGTCGTTACAAAGGACCTTAAAAGCTTTTGTTACTCCCTCTTCCCACAAAACCCGCAGTCCTTTTTAATGGTACTATTCACCCGTGCGGCTACTCTCAGCATTTTACCTTCAGAAATTCTTTATAATATTTTAGGGTATCTCCTCTCTCCATCGTGTTGTGCCTTCGATGAGATTGAGCAGAACCTTGGGAACTTAGTTTTAGTGTCTGAGGGAATAAGGGCGATTTCGGAGCACTTAATGATAAGGAGTCGCTTTTGGTTGTTGACTCCAGTTACTGATCGCTCGAGGATCTTTTCAGCAATCTTTCCGCTAATAGGTCAGATTCCAGGGTTTCCCGAGCCTATGAAATTGGAGGATATCCCCGTCGAAAATCTTCAAGAAAATTTAATGGAATGCACGTCAAATATTCTGTTCGAAGCCTTTATACCCCTTCAAGTCCTCCACTCCCTTATTATCACAGGGGGCCCATCATTTTCAAGACTTCGATATCGAGAACCTAGCACCGAGAAACGCTCAAACATTTCCTTCGAAAGCAGTCCGTTATTTAAGCAGTGTGTTTGCTGGAAGTGCATCTTCAACTCAACTCGTCAGTATTGTGCTAGTGTCGGGGTTCTCGAGTTTGTGATACACAACTTCCCGCCATTTTGTGCTGGAAATCCCACAACTGAATTTTGCTTGAGGCCTTTCGAAAAGTTGCGAGTTTTAGAAATCGAAGCGATTCTGGCAACACATGTTATGGCGGCTATCGCCGCTATTCCCTCCATGACGGTGCTGGGTTTAACCAATACCCAAAAGCTGGGGTCCCATACTACTTCCTCTTATGTTTCGCAGCTATTGAGGCAGTTGGTATTATCAGGATACGAAATTAGACGGCTCACAGCACACAGGAACCATCTTTTACACACTATCCCATCGTACATATATATGCTGGAAATTTCATTGTTACCACGGTCTTGTGATATCGGCTTTGCCAGGATATCAGAGCTCGTGGTCTCGAAGAATAGGAACAGGGTGGAGCTGTTGCTTTCTAGAATTCTAGAATAGGTACCATCAGTCAGTGGTTGACTTTCACCAGACTCTTAGGCACTTATATATAATAGCTTTAGTATCTGTAGTATATATATATTGGCATCTTGGATTTTTTTTACCAAAGCTGCGCTTCTTGAGTCTCGTGTATCCTAACGTGCGTATTGGGCAATATCCCAGTTCAAGCCTCGACGAGCTGCCCACTATACGCCCAATATAGCCTGAACGGACATATGCACATATGTAGTTGTATAATCAAAATTAGTGTTGATTTTGTTGGAACCCCGAAGTTGAATTCCTACTAATAAGGGCCCGACCCGAGTCTGTCCTATAGCCGATCCGGTCGTACTCAGGACCGTGACTCGCGCAAAGTAGCTTATATCGCCACCAACGTGCAAGCTGAAAGGTTGGCCGTAGTGTCGATAGATTTGCGAAGGGCTGGCCATCATCACCATTGGAGGGATGTTGTTTGGATGACGTTGATGGAAACTCCGGTTAGGGACATTCATAGGTTGCCAATCTTGGCACACACATGTTTCCGCGGGCCGGCCCTCCTTCCGTTAAAGTCGAAAAAAGCTTCGTAGACGTATCGATACTGTGCCGATGAAGTACGAAGTAGATGCCTATAGCAATGATACGTAAGTCTAACAAGCGGATTTATTTGTACAAAAGCAAATGGTTCTTGTACTGATAAGGATCTTTAGGGAATTGGATATGCGTGGGTTTGGATAGTTAATGATCCAGAGTTTGGCCGTCCCTTGGCCATAACTATTGCAATATGTCTGAAGACTAGAACTCTAGGTCCCCCGTTTGACTCTAGTACAAAACCTTTGGCGAAGAAAGGCGAAAGTTTAGCCCTGTGCTCACCCATAGCTGAGGCTACGATATATCAATATATACGAAAACTATCTAGATTAGCACCAGCACCGCAAATATACACGCCATCACAGTAACGAAACCTGATTAAATTCCTAGTGCTACTGTCACAATCTGACATAGAAACCTCTATATTTCTTGCACTGCAAAAGCATATTGAAGGTTGATCTTTGAAATTCACGACCAATTACATTCAGGTTCGTCTTTTAGATTACTTCTATAAATCCTTACAGTTACGGGATTGCTCACACCTCCCAAAGAAGACGCTGACTCCCAGCAGTTAGAAACGAGCGCCCTTACTCAAGCCAAGTTTCCACCACCGCATTGAAACCAACCGTATCGCAATTATTCTTAGCGCAAAATGTACCACAATACGAGGTCGTTTAAAGGATAGGAAGAGGGAATTGAACACCTTATAAGTTTTCTAATGTCAAATCGCCCCAGAAGCTCGAGCTCTCTTCGCGCTTCCATATGAATTTCCTTAAATTTAATTAAAATCTCACTTGTAATGACCATGTATTTCTTTGTACAACAAATGTTTACTCCTAATAAAATTTTTCCTTTCAATAATAATAAGCTTAGCCCACTTAGAAGAGCTAGAATTGTAACAACCTTTAGGCACTGGGATGGCCGGCCACCAGCCCACCATCAATATCCTTTAAGCAAGGAAATGTGGTATTTTGGTGGTTTCGCGAAAGAACATCCATGTTTGTGAACGGCCAACATGCAACATCGCAACGCAAGACCAGCAGGCACTTTCTTCACGTGACCGTACCCACGAACACATTGAATCGAATGGCATCCTTTTCAGGGCCTCGGCTTCTTTTGATCCGAAGCCGTGAATTTCGACACCTGCCGATTTCGAGTTGCATCATACAAACACCTAGCACAAGTGGCCTCTAACATTGGTCGAGGCCCCGAAACGGCCTCGAGGCGCCGTCTAGTGGCAGCCAATGAACAGTAGCGCACTATTTACTTAAGGTAGGTTTAATATGATTTACTTAGTGATCTCGCCAAGGTTACTAGCTTTAGCCGTTTATCTGCTTTGCTAATTACCAAACTACAACGGTGCTTAGTTATGGGGGGGTACATTGTTGTTATAGGCGCACTTAACGTGGATTTGATTTTTACCTCGGAGAATCCCCTTGGCATTGGGGAATCTATAAATGCTTTATATTTCGCAAAAATGCACGGAGGTAAAGGGGCAAACACAGCCGTTGCCGCCCATCGATTCTGCCTCCAGGAGTCAGAGACCGATAGTAATGGAACGCTTAGCGCCGATATCGATATCCAAGTCGCTCTCCACGGCGCCGTAGGAGGAGACGAATATGGACGGTTGCTCAAAGAAGAGCTAGCAGATGCTGGTATAGATGTTTCTGGAGTGGATACGCTCCCCTCGAGTACCAGTGGAATTTGTTGCGTGCTCGTCGATGCGAAAACCGGAGAAAGCAGTAATATCGCATATCAAGGTGCAAATATTAATTGGCAGCCGAGTGATGCTTTGATGGATAGACAAAGCAGCAAAGGACCCGATCGACCCGATCTTGTCATTCTTCATCTCGATACTTCCTTAGAAGTAGTGAGAAAGATACTGAAAACTGCAGCGGAGTTCAAAATCGATGCACTTTTGAATCCATCCCCGGTAACGGACTTAGGGACCGAAATTTACCACAATCTCACACACCTCATATTAAACGAGCCAGAGGCCATGAGACTGTCTAGAGTTGACTTCGGGAAGTTTCCTACCAAAGCTGCATGGCAGAAAGCTGGAATGTACTTCATCGAGTTAGGCGTAATGCACGTGGTCATCACATTAGGAGCTAAAGGAGCTTACTATATAACTGCTCACGAGTCTGGACTTGTAAGTCTAGCAGAAAAGATAAATGTGATAGACTCCACAGGAGCAGGGTGGGTACTTGCTTCACTCGATGGTTAAGAAACTACGCTAATATGGCCTAACTTATTTTGGTGTAGGGACACATTCACGGGAACGTACGCAGTAGAATACGTCAGAACAAAACGGCTAGGGATATGGAATATGGCTACCGCAGTAGAGCGGGCTTGTAAAGCGGCAACTGCCACTGTAGGAAAGCTTGGGGCGCACGACTCAGACCCGTAGCCAGATGTCTATGATAGGCAATACCCAGTTGATGTCACAGCTAGTCATAGCTCAAAAGTCTTGGACTTTCTTAGTAGCCAATCGTGAAACCTTTCTTGGGTGGCACTTTTTACCGCCAGAGATTGCCAAGGCTTCGACGCCACATTGTGTAACACACCGCTCAATTGTAGAACGGAGCACAAATCTAAAATGGGATCAGTATTTTTGGTCTGGTCAAGCTGCCTTCCGCCAACCATGTCTAGAATTCCCGTGCACCTGAGAACTAGAATCGTCTAGCCGTCATCCACGAAGGACGTCCTCCCTAGTGTAGTAATTTTGTCTCACTTAGATTTCGGTTTAATTAAATGTCTGGAAAATTTTTAGATGGTTTGTGCTCTCCGTAGGTACCCTCGGTTCCCTAGGCCTAATTTCTACCAATCAATTTCCAAGCCTCCATTCGAACTTCAACTTGAAATATCATCTCACCTATCTGCTCTACTCGAAAGCACCCAAGTGGACTTTATCCATGATGCTATCCAAACGCTAAAGACAACGGCTGCCAGGCACTTATACCGCAATTAAAATCGGTCCTAATCAAAAGTCTAGAAAAATCACGGATAGACGGAGAGTGCTATTGTTCCCCCAATGGCTGGGATGGAAAAGAATACACCGACATCTCAGAGACGATTATTGCCTCTCTACAGCTCAGTTCATACTCAGAAGACTACGAAGAGCTCGTCGCACTCTACCCCTACGAACCCTGCGAACCTGGATACCACGAAGTCACATATATATCTATAGTAAGCACCGTATATCTTTATATCGAATAGAATTTCAAGCGGACGCCAATCGTTAAAGCAAATTTCGTCACACGACTATATTTATCGACACACGTACCTACGAATGCAGTTCTATTAGAGTTTACCTAGGACAGTATATCGATACTTGGGACACGGAAAGTGAAGATCCGGCTCGGGGATATAGTGTTGATTATCCGGTTAAATTTTCATCTAGGGACAAAAGACCCCAAATTCAAGAAATCGATATGGTGGAGGAATTTTAGCAGGGTGGGTAGTTGTAATTGCGACCCGTCTATCAAGTTGACGCCGCCTTCTATACACAAACTTCTCTAGAACCCACAAGCAAAGAGCTACTCCCGGGCTTAACTCAGCAATTAATGGGCGTCAAAACCAAGGAGGGAAGGATATTTCCTAGTTTTCATTAATAATGTTTGTATTATGCGACTGTAGACCCCACGCGTGCCGTGAAGGGAATCGCTAGCCAGAGTAAACGCTAGGAATATACTTATCTACGTTTCATCCTGTTTTTCAATGCGCATTAAACTCTGATGAGTGTCCATTAAGGGAGTCTAGGCAGTGTTTTTCTTAGTTGGGAAGATGACAGCCCTATCCTAGACCCAGCCCGACTTGAGACAGAAGATATTGTTAATATAATAACCAAAAACGAGATATAGGATCTCCCCTTTGAGTTGGATGCTTCAAAAGGCAATACCAGGCTATTAGGTTCCCCTAAACCACTATTTTAGGGACGCGGTAGCTTACATCCCAGAGTTTCTATGGGATGTGTTGTTATGTTGTAATTAGTTGCCAAGACTTGGTTTCAGACTCATACTAGGAACTCTTGGGTCAGACACAGAAGCAGGAGTTCGAAGTTTGAAGGGCTCGGAATCATGGAAGATAATATGCCGCCCAAAGAAATTCCGAACCAATATCCAGACTGGCCTATTGAAATATCCCCCACTCGGACATGGGGCGCTACTTTAGTATATATGCATATTGTGTCTTATCGATATAGTTTGTGAGAATGGCTCTGTGTTGATTACGTACGTATTACTATCAATTTTTTCTTGTATGCTTGACTAGCTCTTGGGCGTTAGCCTAGATTTGGCTAGAATAGAGGTGCCCTTAGGATGATACTCATCGCATCTGGTGACCTTCACAGCTACCTATCGAATTGGGGTGCCCCTGCTATGGCTGCCGCTGTTTAGCGTTTATCTCGCGCTGCGGGAGGGAAGGCATTATATCATATGAACCCCCCGCGGACCCCATACCTATTGGCCTCCCGGGTGTTTTTGCGTGTAGGGGTAGTTATGTACAGCTCAGAGGATTGTAGGCGATAGAAGTTGGTGGTGTAGCGGATTCGAGTGCCGTTGCCTAGTCGAGATCTCAACCCCTCATATCGGAAGAGGGTGGTCTTCATTGTCTTCTAAAACGGACAAGAACCATGACTTTGTGGCCTCAAGAAGTCAGCGAATGCGTCACTATTAAGAGGCAAGCTAAGGTGATCCCAAACCACCTAATACCCTCCCAGTTCGCAAAAGCGCTAGGATAAGACTTTCCTTGACCCCCTCCTACTTTCGGAGGCCAGCCACCAGGCTACTGTGAATCTAGGATAAGCCGAAGCTGTATATCTGCTAGGTGCCCATCAGTCGTTCTTTTTGCTTCTGCGAACATACCCGGCCGGTATAGCTTTTCGTTTCGCAACCGCCTTTTCCGTATTCTCCAAATATCACGTTCGATATATTAATATCTGGAACCGGTTCCCTAGCGGTAACTTGGTGGAAGCGGTGATAGTACTTTTCCGTTCACGCCATTCCTGCAGGAGAAACGCGTCAGTGAGGAGCCCGGGAGACAGAAATATCTTTTTATGGTGGTGTTGGCATAGAGGTGTCACTTCGTCATGTAAGATTTTGTAGTTTAGGTTCATATTGGTCGAGGCTCGTACATTATCGATAGAACTAATCCCGTCACGCAATATACCTGACTCTATCAGATCAGGGCGGGAGATTTTGCTTTCCTTTATCCGGCCCCACCAGTGTCCCCATTTTCTTTCGAGCCTAAACTCGTCTAAATTTAAGACACATATACACATGGGCCGCGTCCGTGCCCGTTTTTGAGCCGAATCAGGGCGCTGTCTGTACCACTTCCCCTCACCTCCCCTAACCTCCCCTAACCTCCCTTGACTTCCCCTAAGCTCCCTTGACTTCGCCTGACTCCATCTTAAAAAAAAACCCGCCGTGCCGGGACCCGCTTGCTCTTCACTTCATTCAATTTGGATTTGTGGGTAAAGCGTTAAATTCGCTATACGATCTGCGGTTGCACCACCCTTATAATAGACTATGTCTAACCCAATTCCCTTTTCTGATAACCTCCAACTTATTCCTGTTAACTGTTCTTCATATTTTCCCACTTCAGCTACCTTCATCTCATATCTCTTCTGCTCACGCCTCCGGAATCTCACCAATATTCCTTTCAATCAACAAATCGGACGATAAATTATGAATCAAGACCTTTATACAATGCTTTGCAACTGTATTCTTTCAGGAATACATGCGTTTCGGGGTATTGTTCGATTATATCGCATCATCCGCGAGTCAGATTACTCTCGTTTTACTTTAGGAATCATTTTGTTTGAAATTTTTTTCGAACTTGCCATTGTAATTAATTTGGGGTTATATTATGGTAAAATTAGCAGCCAAATAGCCCTTCCCGAAATTATAGATAGCATTTTGGCCCTCGAGATATACTGTCAGCTTTACCCATGGGTAGTCGTATTCCTAACCTCCAATATTTATCCAATTATGCTAATCGATATACATACTAAATAGTTTCTTGTAGTAAAGTCAATCAGCGTTCACAGCTCTCGCAGTCGCCTCGTCGCGATAACTTTCATTGTTCCAATCATAATAGAGGCCCTATTCACGATGCTGAGGTTAGCTCTCTCCCCCTCCTTACGACCAAAGTGACCCATAGCTAATGTAGGAGATTAGGTGGACGATCCTACCGATGCGCGTTTGGATTCATGGACTCGGTTATGCTCTTGCCTCGACAGTATCACTGGTATATTGGATAGGGCCTTTATACACCAGAGATATACGGATATATCTCTACAGCTTGACCCGACTCCTCGTTTTCGCAATTTTAGGCACTTCTTTAGGGATCAAGTCTACACAATGGGCTCTAAAGGAAGGACATTTGTTAAATGTGGGGTTTGTAAGTTGAGGCGGTCGTTTGCCATTATGTTGTAATTTACAAGAAGCTTCCTAATATGAGACCTAGTGGATCCTTACGGTTATATTCATTGAGCAACTTCTTTTACCTCTTTACGTAACTAGGAGTTGTTCGAATGCGGATGATACGGAGAGGGCTGCGGGAAGAGAAATTGAATTCTCTGAAATATCAGAGACTTAGTTACAACTGTAAAATTTGTGGGCCTTGAGTAGCAAGATAATATACGTATCCTGGTCAAAACAGTAGAAAACTAATCTTAGTAGTTGACTTAAACGCAGAACCCTGTTATTTCAATGCTTAGGCCTCATGGAACGTGATAGTTGCTAAAAGGCGACTTCGTTAGATCTTACTAGATCGGAGTAACCTAACAATTCCGCTAATTCATCCGGAGCCATTTCTAGTTCTAGTGCAACATCGAAAACATCTGCCACCCTCGGTAATTGATCCACATCAATAGCATTTCTAGCAAACTTCTTTAACTAGATAATAATATTGTTAGCTGCGGGAGGCCTGTCCCGATTACTAGAAAAAGGTGGTATTAACAGAAATGATTTTTCTAGAATTTAGGTTATCTGCAAATTCGATTTCGGGAGATAGTATGAAACTAACCAGGCCTTTGGAGCCGTTAGACTTGGAAGCTATAGAAAGTAGATCTGACCCGTGGGCAAACTATGTGCGGTTTGAGGAGAAGTTTCCGGTGATTTGCAAAGATAGACTTCTTATTGTAATTATTCTCGATCTCAAGACAGTCCTAGGTATATATGAACTAACTGACGGAAAATTCTGACTCTGACTTTTATTTCCCAAGGACGGACACCATAATCGTCGTAAAAGCCACTCAATTGGACAAAACGAAGGTTACTGAATAATATACCTTAGTCATTGAACCTCGACATATGCGAATCACGACTTTTCGATCCGAAGTTGGCGCTTATTACCCATCAACACGTATCCCGTCGCAAAGACTCCTAGCTTGGCCATCGTGCCAACGTCATCCTCGTAGGTTTCGACGGGTACACTTTGATTTTCGGCGTCCGATGGTTTGGGTGCAGCTAATCAGCTTCCTATAGAATATAGTTACCGTCAAAATCATACCGAAATATTAAAATATTAGGTAACATTTATATTGGGCTTACGGAGCCATTTGTGAGCCAGTCCGTCCCTAGGGCTTTCCATTCTGCTTTCACATACATATGGATCCTTTGTTGCATTTCGGGGACTGGTACTCCATGCGGTATGCCTTTCCAAAATCCGTGTTTTTCCCGAAATACCGTTTCGATGGAATTTTGCCATTTGGGAGGGTAGTCTGGCATATCTCGAGTTATTTTTACAGATGCAAATAAACGCACGGCGGCGGTAATGATACCAGCCGCTTGAATACGCTTTAAGTTTTGGTTTTTTTCTTCTGGAATTTCCCTCCTGAGGTCTTCTATCGCATTGTATCCTTCTCGTTCTGTGTCCACCACCTTCTCGAGGAAGCTGACAGCCGTTTCATAAGAACCCAGTTCAAGTACACTATTGAACCGAGAGAAAATAGCAATGATATTAACCGCTAGGCGATGAGAGGGAGAGCCCTGATAGGCTTCAGATTCGCTAGTATCAGAAGCTCCCCCGTCATAGCCATCTTCGAGGTCGATGCTGCTATCTCTCTTGGTAATTTCTGAAGGGCAATTGTTCAAGTGTTCAGCGGATGCAGGAGCGGCTATGATGTTATTATTTTGGCAGCCGAGGGTATTCATAATGAAGGTGAGTTTGGGCGCGGTTTAGAGATTTTCCGGACTAAGTTGAACTTGGAACGAATTGATGTATGAGAGCCTCGCGATAATGAAGAGGGTAAAACAGCACTGTTTAAGGTGTGGGCGGGGCTCAGGGAAAGCGAATAATGGAGCCTTCGGTCAATATAAGTTCTTAAGTAAATTCCTGGTTCAAAGGC